GCAACCGGGGCCTGTAGCCGTCTACGACAACGCGCCTGGCTGTCATGCCAGCTACAGAGATGAGAAAGAGACGGCATGCTGTGCAGCCAAAGATGCGGCACGGAGATTGTGGCTTGAAGTCCGGCGACGAAGCCGTCAATGTAGGGTCTGCAAACATGTCCCGGTTGCAAAAAACATCGCGCGCGTACAAGGCGAAGCAATAAATCTTGAAGCAGATGCATACGTGTCGTCGTAGCGGAAAAATGAGGGGTGGAGAATGAGGGTCCAAGCTTAGTCCGCATTGACCGAAAATTGGAATTATCGTAAAAAGCATCTGCAGGAGCGCACGAGATGTGGGGAGTCAGGAGTACAAAATGCAGGACCGAATTCCGCACTGTGACGTATTAAGCATATACAGTCCGGCGTTTGAAGAACGCTCGAAACCACAAAGCTCCTGCAATCGCAAGGAGCACATGGGACCAAAATGCAAACTTTGACCTTGCAGCATCAGATCCCTCCCGACTTCCTCCCGGCAAAGAGCCTCTCAATGCAGAGGATGGGCTCTTTGACCTGGTTCAGTCAACTTTCAAGGGGTCCTTGCAAGACCAGAAGACCTTGGCACAAAATCTCCGGAGCGCTTCCGCATTTCGGCTCGAAGGTCTACATCCACACACCAACTCTGCCCGGCAACTTCGTTCATGGCCAGGCCGAGCTGTGTACCGAAGGCCTCACCAGCTGCAACTACGTCATCCAGAACCTATCTACCTCTCCATCTATCTAACGGCCCATCCATCTACCTGTGTGTTGGGAAGTAAGTCATGCCATGCAGCAGAAGCAGACGAATCAGCAGAAGTAGCGGTAATGGAAGTAGAAATGGACCTGGCATGGACGTAGAAGTAATCGCAGTATTGGTAGTAATTAGTAGGAGCAGCAGTACTTAGTCGTAGTAGCAGTAGCAGCAGCAGCAGTAGTAGTAGTAGTAGTCGTCGTCGTCGCTTTAGTTGTAGTAGCCGTGGGAGGAGGGTAAGAGTTGGAGTAGGAGTAGTAAGCGGTAGTCTGCGTGATACAGGTATTCCAGCCTGTTCGGTCTCATGCATTTCCGCTCCACACAGAGCCTTGGCAATCTCAGGTCTTCGAAGGTGTGGAATTTCACGATAGCGCTTCCTCGGACGCTTGCAGGTCGACTGTTTCGGAGAGGATTATTTGGCAAATGTGTTTCTATCGAACTGATGTGAGGAACAGAATCCTGGCAGAACTTTTCTGCCGTCCTAGTGATGCACCACTGCGATCTTTGCCCAAGGGACATGCTAGGTGTAAAACTCCAGGAGTCGGAGTGCGCGAAGTAGGACTCCTGCTAAGGAACGGCTGCAGCATCGTCTGTTCATTCATGCCTTCACTCACGCCGAGACCCAGAATGGTCTGCCATGTCTGCCATTCGTGCCATGCGGCAATGGCGGCCATCTGAAGTGCACCGAAGCGCCGATGCCAGGCTTCATCCTTGAGACTTCAGACACAATGCATCAGGGGAGAGAAAGAGAGAGAGAGAGAGAGAGAGAGAGAGAGAGAGAGAGAGGAAGAGAGCGTAACAGCGGCGGGCCTAAGCCGTTCAGTGGCTTCCGAGCCCCGAGCACTTGCGAAGATCCGTAGAATCCCAACAAACAAGCCAAAAGACAGAGTGTCGACAGTGCGCGGATCGATGGAAGGGATGCTCTGCATTTTTGTCGTGCTCCGCAGCAGTATCAACGGTTCCCCTTTCCCTGAAAAACCAGGGCTTTGCGTTGTTTGTTCCATAACCGCCAGACACTGGTTCCCTTCTTGCTGCAAAGGGTCGTAGCCTGGATCCGGCTGGCGGAGCACGCCAAGCAGCAAATCTCGGGGGGACGCCCTGTCATATAAACAGCATCTTTGCGGTCACTTGCCAGGCCGGGCACTCCCCTGCACAGTCTAAGCTGATGCCATGCAAAGGCTTTGAAAGGCTTCGGCTTCTCTGAAACCTGCATGCTTGAAGTTCGAAACAATCTTGGATGGCTGGAGCTAGGCTAGTCATGCCGACGTGGTGACCGGTTCTTTGCGATTTGCTGCTCATGCCTGATGCGGGTCTAATCGATGCACACCATGCAAACACTTTCGCAACCTGCGTCTACTGGCTTCTCAGCGACTCGGCCTGCCACTGCCGTCGACAGAAAGTGTTGATACCATGACGAAGCTTGCCGTCTTGCCACATGGCGAAGCTTGCAATTTGGCAAAGAGGTGGGGATTGGCCTATCTTGGCAACCGAACGGCTGATTGTCACAACCTGCAAGGCCAGTTCTACATGTACATAGCTGTCTGATAAGCCCGCAACGAAAAGACCGGCTGCGAGCAAGCACGCGGCATCCGGTCGGGCGGTGGCTTCCAACTGTGACAACCCTGCGACCCTGCTCAAGCCAGCGCGGCTGCTTCCACATGTCAAGGACAGCCAGTGCAGCTTCCCTGCCGTGGTCAATGGTCACCATTCTCTCTCCTGTTCTTTCGCCATGGCTATGGTGAAGGCTTGCTTGCTGAGAGGTCTGGGCCCAGGAGGACCTTGGCCCGAAGGCCTACCCCCGGCCTCTCTCTCTCCCTCTCTCTCTTGCTTGCTTGCTTGCTTAGGGGTATGGGCCTCCGGGGAGACCCTGGCCCGTAGGCCTAACCCCTCTCTCTCTCTCTCTCTCTTTCTCTTTCTTTCGCCAGGGCTATGGCGAAGGGGAAGTTCCCCTACGCCGCGCGCTTTGTGCGCCCCCGACAGTTGCGGGCGGCAAGAAGTTACATGCATGCCCGCGCCTCCTCCTGCCCTCAGCGTTAAAGGGCTTCACTAGGCGACTGTACTTCAGGAAAGACACGAAGCATATCGAACAGACGATGAGCAGCAAATAGGATCGTACATTAGGGATGATTGGTTGCTCCCGGAGTTGTGGGCAAATGCTTTCGGGCAAGCTGTTTCAGAGGTTCGCGGTTAGAAGCTGAACAAGAGGTATTGGGCCTCGCCTAAGTTCACTTTAGCTGAAACAGCAAAAGACGGGTTTGCAATGAATTGGCAAAGAGACGGAGCGAGCTGTCAAATCGCGACAGCGTTGTTTTCAAAGGCTACTGGAAGGCATGGTAGAGAAAAGCATTCCTATTTGCTTTCCCCCAGCAAGGCTCAATCCCCCGAGTTGCGGCAAGGACTGCGCTAAGAACAAATACAGTAGAACACATGCATCCCCCCGGCAAGGGTTGACTATGAAGAAATCGTGAAGTGGGCAAGGAAGGAAAGAGGAGCTACACAAGGCGCTTCACCCTTCTCTCCCCCTCGCACTCAGGCTCGGAAAACTTTTTCGCGCTCTCACTTGACTCACTGCAGCTCCTCGGCGTTACTTCCCCCAACTCTTCGTCGGGCCATGTGCTCCTGTACCTCCCTCACTTGCCAGCCTATACTCGGCACCAGGTTCACTGTCGGTCTCCCCCTGGTACCACTTTGTGCGGCAGCACTTGGGTCTGTAGGCAGGTGTGGCCTTTTGTTCCGCGGCTCCCCCGTTGTCGTTCTGGGCTCTCCTTCTGGTTCCGCGGGTCTCCTGCGGTCAACCGTGTTCCTTCTCGGTTCCCCCAACGGCTCCGCTGGCTTCGTTTGGTTAGCTTCTCTGTCTGAAGGTCTGCCATGTGCTCCCCACGGCCATTGTGGGTCAACGTTCTGGTAGTCGTGGTAGTCCACCTCGTTGTGTCCCCCCGGGGCTGCACCATGGTCGTCGTCGTCTGGTGCCTCCCCGTCCTCATCTGCTTGGCTGGTTTCGCTTCCCCAGTCTGGTGGTGTATCTGAGGTACTGTCTTCCTTTTTCGCACTGGTCGCTGCCATCCCCCTCGATCTGCTAGCTGTCTCGATCGGCCTGGCTGTGGTCGGCACGGTCACCTCGTCTGGCTCGCGTTGTGGGTCCCCTTTCTTGGCTCGGCGGTGTGCTGCTCCTGTCCCCCTCTGTGTTTGCTTCTTCTTCTTCTTCACTTTGCGGGCATCCTTCAGGAGTTTTGGGATGCGGTGAGGAAAGCGCATTATGCAGGCACGCGTCTCGTTGGTGATGCGGGGCATGAACTCATCCGTGATTTTCATCAACTTGTCTGCAGCTGCTCCTAGGGCTCGGCGTTGAGAAGGTCTCCCCCTATAGCTGGCATAGGCCTCCCGGTCGCTCTCCCCCAGCGGCTTCCCCTTCTCGTCGTAGAGCTCCCCGGTCTCATCGTTGCGCTGCATGTTGCGCCCGATCCATGCATCGAGCGGACTGGGGTGGAAGAGGAGGTGCAGTCCCCCACGTGTTTCGTGCTGCACCATTCGGTCAAGACTTGTGGCACGTCTGGAGGAGCCAGCATCCCCCCCCTCGTGGCCTTGTGCTCGTGGCTTTGCTTTTGGGCTGGCCACTGAAACATTGGCTAAGCTTGCAACTCCGTGCAGCCGACACGCCGGATCACTTCTCACATGCACCTTCCGCATGCCGGGTTTGCATATCCCCCCAACTTCCCTGCAGAGTCGACACTGCATCTTCCCAGGAAGTTTGCCTTGGGTTCCGCGAGGATGTAGTATGGCGGCCCCCCCTACTGACGGGCCACCTCCCGAAGGAGGGCCGTGGCCAATGTGAGTGTAAAACCCTTAGGGCCACTTAAGCAAAATGAGCAGCGGCGTGCGACTCAAGCGCCGCTGGGGAAAGCAACACGGCTCTCCTAAGGCTTACAACCTTAGGCCAACCGCGTGCCTTCCCCCCCGTACCAAGGAGGGTTTACAGTCCCTCAAGGCAAAGGTGCGGACACTTGAGCCAAAATGGCTACTCTCTCTCTCTCTCTCTCTGCCGTTGCATCCAGAGTCTCTAGCAGCGTCAAGCAAGGCATTGCCTTTGTTTTTCGTGTTTATTTACTGGTCAGTAGCGACGTGCAAGGAAGTCGCGGAACAGTTTCTCCAAACTGCAAGCATCTGCACGCACATGCTGCATTTTGGGGCTGCTGAAGCTATCTTGACACAGCGAGTGGGGAAGTAAGCTCGCGGCGAACGCGTGGATGTTGCAGCCCTCAGTGAGACCATCGGAAATTGGGACGGTCGGGGTCTTCATGGCTGTTGCTACTGCTGTTGCTGCCACAACCTGCCGTTCCCGCTCTTGCGGAAACGGGGGTGCCAGTACTTTGTGCTGTTGTAGAACCTACGCTGATAGCAAGACAAAGTTCTTATCAGCATGCAATGAGAATACGAAGGTTAGTGAATGCCGGCGATAGCGTTTGGTAAAGTAGTTCAATCATGGAGAACCGGATTACTATACATTGTCCGTGCCAAGGTCTCCCTCTGCGTATGGACGCAGTTTGTGGTTTGCATGGTCTGCAAACATGCCGCGCTTCTTCAACGAAGGTGTCAGTGCGACTGCCAATCTTGCTCCAAGATGAACCCTTCCTTTCATTCCTCTGGATTCTCGACACTTAGCGGTTTAAGTTGTGAAGCTCCAGTCAGCATCTCATTAAGCTACTTGTTCGTGCTACAGCTCGAGCAAGGTCAGCGGTTCACGGTCCACAATGTTCGGTTTGGTGCTATTTCAGTGTACGATTTGATTTCCTGTTGCTTGGCTGCAGCAAGGCATGTCCGAAGACTGACTTGGCAGCTCCCATGACGCTGCGTGGTTAGTTTAAGGATGTGTAACATGATTTACCATGATAGCGTCGACGATGGTGACCCTGATACAAACCCAAGACCAAAGGCTCAGGCTGGCCAACAGGATCTCGAACTCCTTGCGCTTCGAGGTCCATGCCCGCAAATGTTTGGAGTGAAACTCCTCTCTGGAGATCCTTGGTGCAGGGCTTCCGGTTTGCATTGTTGGCTTCCCAATATCCCTTGAGGTACGACCTCCGTTGAGGTAATCGAGGTCATCCATGAGGCCGAGGCTCTACAGTCTACAGAAGTCTACGGAAGGCCGACCTCTGCGAGTGGTTCGTGGTTCAATTTCTACTATGACCTTTAGCGATAAACGCTTGTATGCTTCAACGAATGTCGCAGACCTCGGGGTCATCCGAGGTGTTCGCCATCAACAAGACTTCGGTCAAAAATAGCAAGAGCCCGGCCAAGCATCACAATAGTCATAGCAGTAGCATTTTACTGTACTATCGAAGAGATGTTTATTGGAACTATTTGGAACTCCTGCGCCATGCACACTCCCTGCCCCATGTTGAACTCTGGCTCGTCGGAGCTGCGGGCGTCGCAAAGGATCGAGGTGACCAAAGCTCCCAGCATCGCCCGAGGCAGCTTACAACCTGCGGACTCTTCACTTGTACGAACCTCAAACATGCTTATACATGTGTGTGTGTGTGTATGTATGCATGCATGCATGCATGCATGTATGTGTGCACGTGAGTATGTATGTATGGCTTCGAGTACACTTCTCCGCGCATTCCTCCTTGGAGCCAGTGCCAGCTGCTCTCAACACGTGCTTCGTCAACAGGGGCGCTAAGTTGAAGCGAGGGCTACCACCGAAGAGTGGGGGAGCCGGAGAGTTGCAACGCCTACTGAGTGAGTTAGGAGGGAATAAGCCTCTGAGCTTGTTCGTGGGTGCGACGCACCAGAAGTATGCCTTAGATCAGTACAGGGCGCTCTCAGACTAGAGCGGGGGCAGTTCTGGCAGCTTCTGAGCTGCGTGTCACCAAACAGGTCGTGCGCAGACACTTGCCGCTCAAAGGCAAGGAGTTTGAGTTTTTACTGAGGCCGTAGGATGCTGACTGAGAGACCTGCCGTGAATGAGTGAATGAATGTATTTACGTTCGTAGGTATTTATGTATGTACGTAGGGATGTATGTCTGTGTGCATGTATGTCTACGTGTATGTGTGTATGTGTGTATGCGGCCTTGCCATCATAAATTGCAATACGCGGTCCACTTCTTTGCCTCGAACACCTTCAATCGCAGCGGTACTTGGGGGAAACCGATTGGGGCGGAAGCATGAGTCTCGAGCTTCCGAAACGCGCCAGTACTTGGGCGAAAGCACTTTCGCCGTGGTCCTCGAGTTGCCAGTATTGTCGGGGGAAAGCATTCCTCCTGAGCCCTGCCAGCACTTGGGGGCAGGAAATCCACGTGTCGTTAGAACTTACAGTTTTAGTTGCTCTAGTGGTGTCGTTTTGGTCCTGCTGGTCGCCTGGTGGTCTCCTGGTCGTTGTCGTCCTGGTCGCAATGCTCGCGGGGGGTGGTCTTCTGATAATCTTCCGCTGTTCTCTGGGTGGGTCCTGGTTGGTCTTTTCGTGGTGCCTTATCGGTCTCCTCGTGGTCTCCTGTTCGTTGTCGTCATGGTCGCCGTGGTGTCTGTATGCATGTATTCGCGAGTGCATACGTTCTGCATGTACATCATACACTATATCTTGGCAATCTATCTGGTGCTTTGTGTGAATTACGGATTATGTTGGTATTTCTGCGCGCTTCTGTGAATCCAAATGCTAGGGATTCGGGCTCCGAGTGGGATGATGATGTTGAGACACAAGAGATCTTGAGACAGAGGCGGCAACACTGTGATCTGGTCATGCTGCCTGGCTTTCCATCTCCGCCATCATTCGTTGACTTTCAGAGCTTCTCAACGTCCCATCGTGGAAACTGGCATATTGAAGTGATGTAACTTCTCCTATGTCTGAATCCGAGTGGCAGTGGAGGCCCCAGCCGGCATAGTGGCGGGATGCGGTGCGCATTGGTTTCCGGGCTCGTTGGGAGAGCTGTGAAAGCACAGCTCGCGGCGTCACACGTTTGCTGTCACTCGAAGCGTCGCTGCGTGTTGCACCACTCAACTGTAACATCAACAATCGATGCGATACTGCGTTTGTCGTGGGCATGGAGACGCGCCCCGGTCGGCTACCATCCAGCCACACAGGGCGCACGGCGAAAGAATTTGATGCCGCAGCATCGAGCCGGAAAATGTTTGAGGCAGTTATGCCGGTCATGGCTTTCTGACACACAAATGGCTCACACACGATCGTGCTCCGTCCCATCGTTCGTCGATTTGCTTTTTTTGACAGTGTTTGGCCAACTGTGACAAGCAACTTGCGAGCATTCCTCGCAGCAATAGTAAGGTTCGCAGAATTCTGCATATCCACCACATGGCCTAAGCCTACATGTAGCGTCGAGAGCGAATGGCGCGGCTTTTTACTCTGAGCTGAATGTGCCCAATTGATCCGTCTCCTGCCGCACTCCTGCCGCGCCAGCTGCTAAAACCGTTCTTGCAAACTTCCGCTTCTCCGCCATCAACGAGCGCGTCAAGCGCTGGTCCGGGTTCCAACACCACCACAGTCTTGAAAGACCCCGAACACAGGGCAAGGGAACACTGCCTGCTTAAGTGGTGCTGAGTACCTGAGCTTCATTCCAAGCAAGGGGCGCCCAAGGAGCATGCTTTCAGCGCCGTCGAAAGATCATTTGGGCGCCGAAGGCCTAACACCGTCCGCAAGCTTTGTGCACTTCACGTGCGGCTTCAAACAACTACTGGTAATTGGGTGACAAGTGGCCGCGGTCAAAGTTCACGCTTCTGCCGCGGCCGCGGGGCATCCATTCACAGTCGGCCGGAGGCAACCACGAAGATACCAGTCAGCCACCGCATATCATAAGTCCATCCAATACAGCAGCCGAAAGTCAAAAGAACCAAACGAGGAAACATGATCAAACCACAACGGAATAACGACTTGATTGCGGCTTGTGCAGTCTTGATCTACAGCCGAGCTTGCTAGCTGAAGCACTTGGCTGCAGGATACGACGTGGCAACGCTCTTTCTGCAGTCGCGCATCTCTGTCCCACTGCCTGGAGGTTGTAAATACCTGGCCTATTACTCACTCGCTGCAACCAGACTTGGGCACCTGACTCTCAACTGTCTCTGAAAGCCTGCCTGGGTGAACACGGTGGCGAAGCAACAGGCTCTTGCGATCGCATTTCCTTGCATCCGGCGATGCCTGCTGGAGGTCTGAAAAAGAGGATGCATATAAGCAGGTGTACAGTGTTGCATCCAGCTTCCGAAACATCATCGTTCTCCCCAATCACTCGTTGCCAACCTGTGTGTAGGCTGATAGACTCATCACCTGCCGGTCGTCATCACAAGTTAAGAAGCCTCTTCGTCGCACTATGACAGTACAAGCCCGCATTGGTCGCAGGGTTGGGGCATCTGGCTTCTGACGCACGTGTGCAAATCTGCTCGAATGCAAATCAACTAGTTCAGTTCGGGAAGGCGGGGGAACCGGCATGGTCATCGTGGTTTCTCCATGAAAATCCGCGGAACCAACCCTTCATGCCCCCACCCACAGGTTCACAGAAACTGTTGAAATGTGTGCATGCCGCATGCCTCGGGAGCCTTCAGATATAGGAAAATGCAGAGGCACTCGAAAAACAGAGCCAGCCGCATCTCGCAATTCCGGTTGCAAGCTCCACTGTCTACCAGTAATTTTTTGGCATCCTCACCCGCTGCATCGGACTCGTCGGGTCCCGGCGGTCTCCATCCGCGGCATCGGAAATCGCTGAACCTCCGGGATCCGCCAATCACAGAGGGAGGTCGTCAACGCCAAACAGGGAGAATTGAAATTCTGCACAGTGGCCACAAGCGATAACAACTGTCCGGACAAGACTTTTGAGTATGACGACAAAACATGTTACAGCTGCAACTCAACTTTTCGGCCAGCAACGAAACCTGGTGGAAAAAACGCTCGTTAGGCAATAATGGAAAGACAGCTTCATGACGAGAAGCATTCGTGGCTCGGGAATCTCTGCCTCCACTGCAATGGTAGAAGGCTCCTCTGCTCAACTGCGGCCGAAAACATCATACAAACTGACAGAGGTCATGAGCGCGTGAGGCACCAAGCACAAGGCTCTGTCCACTGGCTGTGGTAGGTGTTAGGGTTTAGTGCTCCCAGGATAGCGGGGCGAAGCAATGAGTGACTCCGGCTCAGTTCCAATACACTACCAAAATGCACAGTCCAAAAGCCTGGCATTTGGAAGACCCCCGCTCGCAGGTATCCAATACGCGACGATGCCTTGCGGACACAACTGTACCTTTTGCCTATAGGGCCCCCTTACTGTCGGATCGGCATGGGTGTGGCCTAGGGTGTTGGACGCTGAACATACATAACTTGAATACAGACTGGTAGTGGATCAGTGGTCCAGCCTTTCAATTCCTAGCTGGTTCGGATGCTGCCTGTCAAGTGGGGCACCAAACACTGTCAAACAACTGAATGCTATGGAAAAAACGGTTTGGCGTCGACAACACCGCCACCACTACCGCAAAAGCAGCAGCAACAACAAAACGGACATAATATCATCAGCGGGATGTTGCGGAAATTGATGACAGAACAAAGTCGTATCATGCCATGGTGGCTTAAGAGAGCTTGCGCATAAACAGACTCTGTAGTCAGACTCTTTTGAACCCAGGCTCTATTCCATCATCAGCTGGGAATCGGCAGCTAACATGACTACTGCATGTCAGACCCTGTTTACGTGATGAAGAAGCCCGCACCACAGCCGCTGCTAAGACAAATGCTCATACCTGTAAGCCACTGCTGTAGGCCACTGTATAGGCGTTGGATGCGGGTCCTCCTGGTCCCGACCGGTGCACTGCTCTGCCGATCTGTGGCGCGGATGTGGGAAGGAGAGCTGCAGTGCCCAAAGGAACAGCGGCATCACGTTGCAGCTTTCGGAGTCCTGAGCGACTATGAGCGACTCAGAGGATTTAACTTGCGAGCATGTGCGAGCAGTACCAATTCAGGAGCGACTTCACTCATGTGTCGCCTGCTGTGCAAGCTGCTTTTAGGGAAAGGTCATTGTCTTTTCTTGTGCTCCATTCCGTAACGCTGTGAGTTGATTTCGGTCACCACGGCTTCAGGAGGGCCACGTGCTTTGCACCTGGACTTGAGCCGTCTGCCCAAGCTATGCAAGCCTACAACAGGTCTTAGAACAGAGTGCTCGCACGTTATGAAGGCTGAAGGCGATGGGCAGATGAAAACGCCAAACGGTATTGGTCACAGTTCGAAGGCAGTTTCGAAGATGCCGGAACCTGTGAAGAAAAATGAGCTGCATCTATTGATGCAAGACATGGGACAGAGATGCATAGTCTCGGATGGCCGACACGCCCAACGCCAAACAACATGCGGGCAGCCATGCAGGATGTCCCTTACAGTTCCCTCCTCGTGAATTGGCCGGGCTCCGCCATGGCCGCAACCGAGGGACCAGCAAGCGTACAGCAGCCGCACAGAAAATCACAAGTGATAAGCCGGGTGAGCTTCAAATGTCAGCTTTAGAGAACCTTATCAGAGGCAGGTTATTAGTGGCATCCCGTGCGAAAAAGGCCTAAGCTTCGAAACACATCCAAGAGGATCGAAGCAAAAGGATTTCAAATTTCAAACTACAGATGAGGAAGGAACAGGATTGGCGTCTATGTGAAATGCCGTGCAGGCCCCAAGCCTCCCAAGCTTGGCCACTACGCATATTTCGACGTCGTCAACCCGCTTCTTTCCTCGTGTCTCGTCGATATAAATTCGTGTCTCGTCGATTTAAATATTTGGGCAAAATGCCTGCGACAGCTGACGTGACCTGCTCTCCGGCAGGCCTCTACCTACACATGGTGCCTCCACAGTGGATTGAGCAGTCACAGATCGCCACATAAAATGGACTCGACTCTGCCGTGCTCAGTCTTTTCCACGAGACGAACTGAAACAACAATTAATTAACGTAACAAAAGCTGCTTCGTGACATTCTTCCAACAAGACAGAAGTATTGGCACTTGCTCCGTCGGCTGATCGCGGGCTTGCTGATGTCTTGGTACCTTGTGAATGTGCCGCTCTCGCGAATTTTGGTCCGGATGTTTGAAAAGGATGGTCCACTCTACGTCTCATGATGAACTAGAACAAGGTTCGTGAGAAAATCCGCCAGGGAGTCAGCGAGACAAACAGCATTACGTGCAAAGCGCAATAAACACCTGTTGCCGAGGAAGCCAGCCCCGACAAGTACATGAAAGGCTCGCGTGGCCGTCTGAGACGGTGGATTGGTTAGGCATTCCTGCGACGAAAGTCGGAGATGTCAACCAGCTTCTGCAAAAACTCTTCTCTTGAGAAGCTATCTGCTGCTTGACTGAAGCTGCTGGCCATCACAGAGCACAAGAAGCGGCAAACCTCCGGAGGGAGCAGCCTGGAGTCAGCCAGCACCTTGAATGTAACGTGGTCCTCACCACCACTAAGGATATCGAAAACTTGGTTCCACTGAGTCCAAGAAGACTCCGGAACCTCCTGTTTGAGGAAGGACCTCAGCGGCACTTGGCAACCTTGGGGAGCAAATAACAGCTTCTTTTGCGCGAGAAGCTCCTCCGTTTTACCCTGCTGCATCGTCAAGAAGTGGCACACCACACTTTCTACAAGGGGATTTCCATCCTTTGGCCGGTATTCCTTGGGGCAAATGCCAAAAATGAAATCATCCTTGCTCATCTTGGCGACCTCGCCCTCGGTCTCTGAAGACGCCGACATGTTCCTCGCGGCCATCTCCCTCATCTCTGGCCTGTTGAAGTCATTCATGAGCTCTTGGCGAATGGCTGCAGGCAAGACGGGTCGTGTGATCGAGTACTGAAAGGATTCTAGCAGCCCGCGATTCTCCTCAACCAGGGCTTCTAGCTCTTCAAGCTGGCTCAGCTCCTTAAGCCAGGTCTGAAACATGCGAAGATGTCGTGCCGTCGCTCGAGGGCACAACTTCTTAAAGAAGAGGCCGATATTGAACTTCACGCCATCCTGTCGCAGTTGCTCTAGGTCTTCCAGTGGCCGCGACAGCATCTTGATCCAAAACTCTGGCTCAATGGACGTGCCCGCTATCGTCTCCGCTTCAGCGTGGGTGATGGCGAAGTGCTTCGAGGATGCACAATGGCTGAAAAGATCCCGGACCACCTGAGCTGCTACACCGCATCCCTGACATGCAACTCAAAGAAGGCTGCAAGACTCAGCAACGCCCTGCCTTCATCTGAGATCGCCGTAGAAAGCTCGAGTCAAGGGAAGCAGCAGTCTCCATTGGTGGATTCACAGGGGCAGAGTGAGAGAGGCGAAACTTCCTCTCATCTTCTTCGAACACTTCTGGATCATCCTCCAGCCCGCGGACTGAAAAGCGCTCCAAAAACAAAGCGAAGGGGATGGAGAGGGGATCCCCAGTGAGTCCCAGAAACCAATCCTCAATAACCGGGAACAATATGGAGCCCTCTTCCAGCATGTACTTGACCTCATCCGTAGCTGGGCGGATCTTCGCCGATTCCAGGATTCTGAAAAAAAGCTGCCTGGCTAGAGTCTGTCTTCGCGCGCTAGTTGGCATGCTGCCTTGCAAGTTGAATGCACACGCTATGCCCTGGAAAAAGGAAGACAGCATGTCCACAAACTCCGCCATCTCAAAGGTACGACTGTCATTTATGTCAAAGACGCCCAGCAAGAAGCGAACTTTCTGCCTTTGCAAATTGGGGACACGGTGCTATGCAAAGAGCAGAGAAACAAAACACAGATTGGATGGTACGAAACACTTGCCCTTTATGCAGAAGCAAAGAGGCCTCTTGGAAATGGCGTTTGACAGAAAGACAGCCGCGTTGAAGAAGGAAGGCATGGATACCTTGGTACAGAGATGGTTGAGAAGTCCCCCTGGCAGATGTGTGGGATATCTGAAACCGCAAAGGCCGAGCCAAGATGCCTTAACCTTCCGATAATCTGCGGCGGCGCGAGTTTGGTGAAGCTTAGCATGGGCCACGGGGTCGAAGAGCTTCACCCAGTCCAAGGCCTGAACTGCTTTCCAGACTTTGCCGTCCGACGTCTGACTAACCTCGTGCCCAATGTTGCTCTCTCCCTCTCCCTCTCCCTCTCCCTCTCCCTCTCCCTCTCGCTCTCGCTCTCGCTCTCGCTCTCGCTCTCGCTCTCGCTCTCGCTCTCTCTCTCTCTCTCTCTCTCTCTCTCTCTCTCTCTCTCTCTCTCTCTCTCTCTCTCTCTCTCTCTCTCTCTGAGTCTCGCAATGTTGCTATACACAGCTGTATTATCGATGTTGATGTTAGAATGCAGACTTGTATGGACTTCTGCCCAGGCCTTCAGCATTGGCACAGCCACTGTCTCCTGGAACTGGTATGCGTCCAAAAAGATGGGCGCCTGGCCCGGGATCCAACCCCCTAAGGCCTGCCAGCGATTGTAGACTTCCACCCAGGTATGCAAGGATCTCAGCGTCAGCGCTTTGCATTCCGGGGCAGGAGAGCCGACCAAGACCTCAGGAATACAGGTTTGAATAGGGTTTTTAGGGGGAAGGCTTTTTGACGGAATACTGGATTGAATAGGTTTTTTAGGGGGAATACAGGATTGAATTTAGGGGGAATACAGGATTGAATAGGTTTTTGACGGGGGAGACAGAAAGGAATTTTTAGGGGGAATACAGAGTTGAATAGGTTTTTGAGGGGGGAGACAGAAAGAATATTTTTGTAGGGGGCATACAGAGTTTAATAGGCGTTTAAAGGGGAATACAGACTTGAATATGGCTTCAAACGCATGCGCTCATGTCCCTTCTTGGATGTTCCTTTAATCTCAAAGAGATCGCCGACTGCCTGCTGAGGGCTGGACTTTTTTCCAGGTGTCCTGCAGACACGGCAACGGTCGTTTGCAGAACTTTGACTAGCGACTGGTGGTTGCAGTATGGAACTTGCATCCAAGCCGTCTGGAGAGCTTGGGTCCTGCAACCAGTCCAGATCCGCCACCTCATCACGGATGGCCACAGCTATGTCGGGCAAGGACTCCTCTGCAAAGGAGAAGCGGCGTGACGATTTCTCCTCCGTGGCTGTGCTGGCAAGCAGGTCAGAGCTCGTCGTGTCCAGCAAGTCGACCGTCTGGGCCTTTTTGGAGCTCATCCGCGATGGTGTGCGGAAGCTACCAGAAGTGGACGGG